AAGTAAACAAATATAAATATATAGTAAAACACATGACTTACCTCTGTCCATGATCATGCTGTCAGTCATGTCGAACGTTTTGAACAGGAAATACCTGAACTTGCTTCTGTCCAGACCTTTGACTGCTTTGCCCGGGGCAGCTGACTCCCCCAGCAGCTCATAGTACAGTTCGATCAAATCCACCACCTCTGTCTTGCTGACTGCGACCAAAACAATAATTACTATTCTCCTGCCATCTATAGCATTAGCTTTAGCTCTCAGGCTTGTTTAAAAAATCACAGTAGTAGCATTAAACGGAAACCATAGTTAGCTTAGCCTAGCCTGAGCTGATCAGGCATATGTTTATACTCACAGTGCCTCACTTGTTTACAGAGAGTTTCTGCCAGAGAAAGGATCGACTTTCTCTGCAAAGCAGATATTTGTGACATAGTTGGAAATAGGAAATAGTAAGGGCAAAATAAAATCGTGGCAGTATCGCACTTGCCTATACGAGTGGCAACAGAAACTGTCACTTATGTGTAAAGTCTTTGTCTTTGTCGCCACTCTGTTTCGAGGCAGCTGCCTTTGATGCCACACTGTTATGAAGCAGCTGCCTTTGATGCCACACTATTTGGAGACCGCTACATAAGATGATGAATAGTAATAGCAATGATGCACAGAGATGCCACTACTCATGTAGCAATTTATTGACTACAACTGTACCAAAGTAGATCGAAAAACCTCAAAGGATCAAAGTTTTTATTAACAGTAGAATAAGGCATACTCATTAATATTTATGTTCTCTCTAGGCTGAATAAATGTATTCTGTGTTTTTGTACAAGCTTTTTAACCAAGTTTTATTCTCGTGTCTTCAGTATTTATATGAATGACTCCTCGGACAGCAATATTGATACAGGCTGGCTTATCCTGTTAAAATAAAGGGAAATGAACTAATATTGAAGCAAACTGTTATTTTTACTTTCCTGTTGCTTCTTATGAAAGACATTCGAATTGTGTAAATAATCGCTTTTTGTTTATTTTATGTTTGAGTAATTTGTGCAAATGCAGACCATAATAACTAAATTAAAGCATTAAATTATAGCATTGTCTATTGTAATGACATATTGTGTCAGTGATGGTTAATGTTAATAATGGAACCTTAAAAGGGGCTACAGACCTGCAATAACAGACACAAACAGCAGGTTGTACATGTGTCAAAGAGAGCAAAGGTATTTCAGTGGACTGGGTTAAAGTGACTTCAATATTTAAAAAATCTTGGAAGGTCACAGAGCACGAACATTAATTGGCTAATGATACTTTAACAACAGCTTCTCACCATTGTTTTTTGGAAGCTGGTAAAAGAAGAACTTAGGCAGCAGCTGATGTCTAAAGAGTTTAATATTGACTTGATGCATCAACGAGACCAGAAGGTTGAACAATATACAAATGCTAACAGAGTATCATGAGCAACTGTCACCCCCAAGTCTGAAGATGTCTCCCACAGCATCCCCATGTATCTTCCTCTACTTGCGTCACCCATTCTAACAGCACGTCCATGAATGGCTAGAATTGCTGTCACTCTCTATGCAACATGTAGGTGTTTGCATCCTATCGGAAAGTTAAGTCTAAATATGCATTCCTAAACCACATTATGTCCTTGCATCTTGCCCCTGGTGTAATTTAGAAAAGAGTTGAAGTTGGTGAGAGTTGAAGTTGGTGCCTCTCTGTCTGGCGCATCTGAATTACAGTAGATATGAAAGTCCCTGAGCGTAGACACCACAATGTACTGTTGGTTGGTCCTTTATCTATAACCTGACCTTGCATACTGCTTAGAGAAAGAGGGAAGCATCTGTGGATTAGACAGGCACTATTCTCCTGTACAGATATAGTGAAATATACATAACATACAATGGCATATGCAGTAATGTGTAAGGATGGTCAAAAAATCCTCAACAACCGTCATCATTTCACCCCCTCCTTTTCAAAATAAGATATTTCACTCCGGTATGCATTGGAGGCAAGGGGTAGGTGATGGAGAATGCCCTCTTATTTTGAAGTTCTCCGAACGGAATTGTGTTTCCAGAAACATGGCGGCATCTTCAGGAAGTAATTCAAGCTTTTGGGACAC